ACGGGTTGCGGGTTCATGTCAGGGGTACTGACGGGTTGCGGGTTCAACTTGCCAAATGTCGTGCACCAGGCTGGGTGTTCCGCCCGACCACAGTTGACAGGTTCAGTCCATCAACTTGCAAGGTGTCGGGCGCCGGACCCCTGACCTTTTATGGAAAACAGGCACCACATACCCAACACGATGCCCTTTTGAATCGTGTACTGTCTGTCACAGCAACACTAAGCCAGGACAACATTGTCAAGGTGTCATACAAAGAGCCCCTGCCCTTTTTTACACCGTGTTAATTCGCATTTAATAACAACTATTCATGTATGAAGGGCTAAAAACGCCCCGCCGCAATATTTGCCATGTCAACACCTCATATACTGACCATTTAAAGTGTCGCATGATGCCCTATTGGGCCATGTACTGAGTGTTTATTCGCAGTCGAAATAATTCACTTTTTGACAAAAAGTTCATTTTTTACGAAATGTGTATTCTGCCCTACCTTCACTTAACCCACAATTCGAAGTTGTCAAGCAGTGGCGAAGGGGGTAAACCACTTACTTTACACGTTGCCCGAGGATAGTCACTTCAACCTGAGAGACGTCTCGCTGCTGGCCGGAAAGATTATGAAAATAAACAAGAAGACGCAATATTTGCCAAGAACAACATAGTTGTTACCGTGTGCGTTTGACATCAAAGACATGTTCAGTTGACTGCTGCACAATGACATTCTCGCAAGAGTCGATTGGATCATCATGATGGCCTTTCATGAAAGTAAGGGTCGGAGTTTCGTCAGGGTCAACACGCATGGACGGGGTGCAACCTTTGGGATTACGACAGATAAGGATCACTGGAGAAAGTCGAGCTTCAAGGATATGAAGTGTTTCGTCCATTTTGAACTGAAGCACACACACACGTTTGCACTAGATACACTGCTAAAATAGGTAGTAGGTATCCCAATGGGCAAGAGCACCAGGCCCTCCTTGGCATGTATCATGTGTGCTCATTTTGAGTTTGCATTGCTCGGGAGATTGGAAAAATTGCAACGCAATGTGTATGGGGTGCGTTCGATTGCCGATGTGAGCTTGTTTCTGATGGATTGTGGACTGAGGGATAAGGAGGTTGAAGGTATGTTGACGGAATTCGAAAAGTGTTACCCCCACAATCTTACTCTGAAGCGAACAAATGAGAGACGGGGGAGTTGAGAATTTTTGGGACTTGAAATGAGGATTGACGAGTACGACATAGTGGGAAGTGTGCAGATGACTAAAAACGAGAAGGCAGTCTGGGACACTGAAATTCTTGACGTCGAAAACAGCCTGTGGTATAGGTCGTGGGGCAGCAAGTTGCAGAAAAGTGACGTCATCTGCAGTTACGTACACATAATCGACTGTAACACAACTTGTCGAGAGCTGATTCCGCAGCGGATTAACACTTTGGCCCATGAGTTGAGAATCAAGAAGTTCCCCCGTGACCTTTTTCTTCGTGTGTTACATCGTTTTGCTAGGGAACAAGAGGAACCATCGGGATAGACCTGCTCCTTGATGATAGGATAGCCACAGGGCTTCCAGCGGGTGTTGTTCCAAACTCGTAGTTTTGTTACATTGTTGTGGCTTGATTGTAGTTTAGGCTGCCTGCGTTTCGTGGTTTTCTTGTTTTTCTTTTTTGGCCCTATGGGACCGGTTGGGAGTTCCTATGGGACCCTTGGGACTGAGTATGTAGCATGTGGATTTTACCAAGTACGAGGACTAGGCCGATGAGCGAATTGTGAATTTTGTCCTTTAACTTTTTGGCCGGATTTGAACTGGTGTACCTCCTGACGGAGGAACCAAGTAGTCCTTTTAGATTCATAGTGTTCTTGTTTTTTCGTAAGATTTGAACTGCGGTCCTACTGGACTGTGGTACGTGAGTGTATGGTCCGGAGACTAGACATTACCTTGGGTATATAAGCAATGATTGTGTAGTCTTTGACCTCTTCTCCGGGACCGACGTCATGGATGGCATTCCTGGGATGCTGGGTTTGACAGAGGAGGGTGTAGGGATGGAAGCATGTGGAGGTGTGTGGGAAGCATCCACGTCTGCTTGGTGGGAGAACCCCCCTAAGGACGATCACCTGGGGTGATTGAAACCGGTCGGGGGAGCCGCTCTTCTGGAAATTTGTTGATTTCATCTAAAAACCTTAGGCTTGATCTTTGACTCAATTATCTTGCCGTCACTCAGCATTTGCACGTTGAGTGACGTGTGTATGTGCTATCTGCCATTGAATCTTACTATCTGCCATTGAATCTTACTTATGTCCTGCCCAAGGATGACACGCATTAATCGAGAAATGGTCCCCCCCCCAAAAACAAAAAACCGCGGGGGGGCACAGGGACACAAGAACAAAACGTGGACGACAAAACTAGGACGGAACATGTTCAAACAAAATTGGAATTGGACTGGCCGCCAAGTTGGACGTGGGGCAGGCAGTGAAGATGCCTACCCGGTAGAGGGGTAAATGGCAAGCGATGCGTCAGCACATGCAGTCCACGGCCAGGGGCAAATGGCGAAATTACAGATCGTACAGCGGTAAATGGCATAAGAATGCGTCCGCCCATGTAGTCCACGGCCAGGGGAATAAGGGGAAATTACGGATGCCCCGCGCAGGGGCATACGCGAAAGTTTTGGGCATGTTGGGGTACGTCGTTGTATCCCTGTGTTTCTCTAGGGGTATCTGACGACGCTCCCCAGATTTTAGGGGCATTTCAGCAATCTTCCCAAAAGGTAATGTTTTCCCCGTCTGTACGTATTTTCGTGGTTGAGCCGTCTGGTCGAGGCTGCAGGCTGACGCTTGTCCTGGCCATCACTTTCCTCAGTGTATCATAATTGTACATCGCAGAATGCAGGGCGGCGCCTGGTTCTCCTACTACCGGGCGGTCTGCTGACGTGTCTCTTTCCTGTTCTGCCTTTACCGAACATCGAGCGGCCGCGCAATGACCCCCAAAAACGTGGTGGACGCCGCCGGCCAACTCTAACGCCGTGCACCCACACGGTGCACACACCAGCTGTGAGGAAAGCGGAGTTGCAATCTTGGCGAGAATTTAGAGGTGAGAGAGCGTAGTTTTTTCGGTCCATCCCTGTGGCTCTTCTTGCGTCCGCCGCCACATCTTCTTGCCTCCACCACATCTTGCGCACTCTACTCCTCACAGTTTCGACGATGTCTGTTTCCCTCTGTGTGTGTGTGTGCGTGTGTGTGTGTCAGTGTGTGTGTGTGTGTGTGTGTGTGTGTGTGTGTGTGTGTGTGTGTGTGTGTTGACGGATGGATAAGGACTCACCACCTCGCCCAGAGTTACCGATACCCTTTTGAGAGAGAAAAAGTGGTCGACTTTAGTCACACCAACCTTGCAATCCTAGCAGAGTGCCGGTCCAAACCCCTGACAAGAACGTCAGTAAGTCTGGGAAACTAATCTGACACGGTCAAAAAATCCACTCTACACACCCACTGAGCCACGGACACCCGATGGCCTGACCGCTAGTACGGTCCCGACCCTAGCCGCATCGATCCGCCTGAACGGGAGTTTAGCAACACCGTGGTGTGTGTGTGTGTGTGTGTGTGTGTGTGTGTGTGTGTGTGTGTGTGTGTGT